CAATGTACTGATTTCACATCTTGGTCTTTGAGGCATCCTAATAAGTCTTCTCCACAGTCTGACAAATCTTTGGTATCGACTGTTCAATTTGCTGGGGAGAGAGAGAGAGTTCCGGTACAAGTATTAAGGGTTGGATGAGGTTCTGCAGGAATGGGGTTGCCAGAATGATCAGTTAAATTTGATAGTGCTATAGATTCAGTTTCTGATCTGACTGTTACCAGACGGGAGCGATCGCATCTGGTATAGAAAGGGACTCTGCCCACTTGCTTTTGGAGACTGTTGAAAGAGAAGAGTGTTGTCTGAGTAAGGGGCTGTAGAAGGGATCACGAAAAATCGGTCCCATTTAGCTGGGCTAAACAGAGTATTTAAGATATTTGTATGGTTGGTGGTGGTGGATGGTCGGGGATGTGTGGAAGAGGGAGTATTGCGGAGTGATGGAGAATAAGGCTGTAAGGTAGTAATGGAGGATGGGGTGCTCGATGAAGGTTGTGGGGGTAGAGTGATGAATTTGAGGAAGTTGGGAGGGTAGGAATGTCTTCTGGAGATTGAGTCTCTGCTTGGGTGGGCAATGCACTAGTAAGCATTGAAGAGTGGGTAGTACTTTCAGTGTTCAGCGTCGTGGTCAAAGGAGAGCCTGGGGTCGGGGAGCCGGTGGGGCTATTTGATGCAGGGGCAAGCCTCATTGCCTCTAATATGGATATTATATCTTTATTACTGGCCATGGGAAGCCTTGATTACGTAAAGGGAAATAAACAGTCCACCCCCAGTGCCCTGTACGAGGGTAAGTGCTAGACAACTAAATCAGGGGAGTACCGTGCCCATGGTTCCCGCAGGCCGTTTAGGACTAGCACTAGGTCAGCCTTTCAGCCTTTCAGCACCGTTCCCATTTAGGAGGTAGATAGTAGAAGGGGTTGAAGAAGGGATGGAAACAGAAAGCTGGAGGGGGGAAAGACCATGCAAAATTAGTTGAGTCGAGGGCTGAGGCCCTAGGCAGGGGAGATCCCTGCATTGGGTCTCAGTCTCCGTCTCCTAAGCCCGCCAACGACAACAATGGGCAAGGGATTGGGGGACCGAACATGAAGCTTTTGTTTCTTTCACATTTTTTATTACTTTCCTTATACTTTCCTTTTTTTTAATTTTTACTAATCGTCCGTGGGCTTTACCTAAACCACGGCGCTAAAATTTGTAAATATATATTTTTTTACGTCTTACACTTGGCTCTCTGAATTATTAATCTCTACACCAGAACTTATACCATTTTTTCTCTTTACTCTTATTTTTCTCCTTTTTATCAAATTATCCCCCGGAAAATGGCCCCCTCAAGTATGGGTAAAAGCAAGAAAGTGATGGGTGTCATAGCCTTATTTGGTTCGAGGTTCCTGCACTTCCTGATGACCTCTTCAGTATAGAAAAACAAGATCACAGTATCGACGATGGTGACGTTAATGTACCAGATTTACCAGTAGTTATTACAAAGAAAGCGTCAATCAAAATTAGTTTCAAGTTGTTCAAACCTGTATTTGACATTTAGTGTAAGATCTCTTGTATGTCTCCCTGTATTTATGTATGTTTCTTTATTTGTACGTATGTATCAATTAGTTCAAGTGTAATAAATTGCACATTTCACGAAATTGATACATAGTTCTTTTGACTGTGTAACCTATTGTATAAAATCTGTGATAGAAAACGATGGGGCGCCACTTTCGAGGGCGTCTGGTGGGCCTTCTGCAGCAGATGATTTGGCTTGCATAGCTCATTCCTTGGTTTGGGGAGTGTATTTTGTCACTCAGCATTGGTTTCGAGTGCTCCCTCGAATGTTTGACAAGGTTAAATATGAACTCAGGGCCCCTTTAGGGGCGTTTGGCGGGCCCTTTGCAGCAGGGAATTTGTCTGGCATTCCATGTTCCGGGGGATATGTACGAAATTTTGACACTGGTTTCGTGTGGTACCTCAGTCGTTTAGCCGAGGTCAAATATACGGGCTTTATAAGGGCGTCTGGCGGCCCCTTAGCAAGGGGTATGTTTAATTTAGCGCTTTTTGAAGCATATGGTAGGTTAAACACTGACCACTCTTGTGGCCAAACATTGGTTCTTCGTTCGTTTAATCAAACTGCTCTGGGCTGCCGGACTACGAGTACGGATTTAATTATTTATCTTATTCATTGAAAACATTCTGCCGCATCAACACCCAAGGTCATTAAAAGTGTATTAAAATATAGCGATAAGGTGGGGCTTGGGAACGAAGGCCGTTCAGGACTGACACAAAGCCAGCCTTTCATCCTTTAAGTACTCACACCTTAGGAAGTGGGCAGAAGAAAAGGGAAAGAAGAAAGATTATGCAAAATTAGTTGACGCGAGGCTGAGGCCCTACATTGGGCCCGAGTCCCCTATCTCCTTTGCTTCCATGACAACAACCAAGGGACTGGGGTGGATTTAACATTTGGAGCAGGACTTTCCGTAGGTTTACACCGAACAGTCACTCGCCCATAAGTATGACATAGCTATTATTACGTGATGACGAACAGCTGCTATAAAATAATACTAACTTTACGGGTATTTTTTAATTTTCACACGGCCATCCAACCTTGCAATTTATATCCCTTGTTTCAACAATTTACGGTGTAATGTATGTAAGTCTCTCTTGTTTTCATTACAAACATTGCCAAATTAATTCTGCTTATGAACCAAAAACCTTCCTAACAAGGGGCTTCGCCTTTGCCCTTAGATCGCCACCATATCGCTGTATTTTCCGCTTCGTCCCCTGACCTCTAATCAATCTCCACGCATTTCCCGTGGCCGGTTTTCTTCATTACTCATGTTACTCTGAACCGGAGTAGATTATTTCATGTATAACAGTGTAGTTTTCCATTTCCTTTTGGTAATGTCATTAAATTTTCCTGTAAATGTATACCAGTATATTACGTGTTAACCATCTTTATGGTCCACTTGTGAAGGAAACACCATAGATGAAGTGTCTTAATTCATGTCGTTCAATTCACTTTAGACAATTCATCGTGCCAATATGACCGTGTATAACTGACGTAGACATCTTTATCAATTATGGGTGTATTGTGAGTCATGGTTATCATCTACACAAAATATCTATTTTCTTAGAACAATGTGGCTGTTATAACATATCATTCAGGACAAACTACTGTTACTTCTTAATTGAACATTTTCTGCTACGTCAACATCTAAGGCCGTTGGCAGCGTATTCAAGATGTAGCGATAGGGTGGGGCTTGGAGGTGAAGTCCGGGGCAAGGAAGTTTTCTTGGTTCATAAGGCGATGTTTGTGGTTTCACAGAATGGTTAATGATCAAAATAAATAAAAGTGCAAAGGTCATACACCACTATGATAGTGTTGTGGCAAAAAGGGTTAAAATAATTTAACAAATAGGTCAACGCTGTTGCTTAGGTAGTGAACAGGGTAAAGCGGGAAGAGCAAACGCAGTGCGAAGGCCGTTCAGGACCGACACGAAGCCAGCCTTCCATTTTCACACCAGAGGAAGTGGACAGAAGGGGATGATGGAAATACGAAAGGGAAAGGGGGAGAATGTTTTTATTTATTGAAAATTATCTGCCATAGGGTCATAAGCGGCGTATTCAAAATATAGCGATAGGGTGGGGCTTGGGGGAGAAGCGGAGAAGCCCCCTGGAAAGGAAGTTTTTTGGTTCATGAGGCGATTTTGAGGGGGTTGTCAGAATGGTTAATGGTCAAAACAAATCAATGCGCCACGCACCAAAGGTTATACAGCACTATGTTAAAGTATGTGGCGAAAAAGTTAAAATAAAGTTACCGATTGGGACAAAAGATTTTATTTGTCAAAAGTTGTGGAGCGATGGTTGGTTAGTAAGGTAGTGAAGAGGGTAAAGAGTACGGAGGGTGAAGAGAAGGAAAAGGAAAGGAGGGTGAAGATATGGCAACGGGGAGGAGAAAAAAGACCAAGCAACGTTGGTTGAAGGGAGGTTGAGGTCTAAGGTAGGGGTAATAGACAACCTACTTTTTTAGATACATGGATAACCTTTTTTTAACTGGTCAGATTTAACCTTTTAAATATTTGGCAACATTTAGACATACCGAAAAGTGTTAGGGTGGGACTGCACTTTCTCAGTCCTTTAGTTCTTACTACAAAACAGGTTTTTAAAGATCTATCGTTTTGCCAAGATGATCTTGTGTATATTTATGGACATTTAAATTCCTGTAGCTTGCTTCCAAAAAATAAACAGTTTCTTAGTCCGACAGCAATATCTATGCTTCAGTTCTAAGCATTTAAGTTTCCCTGATACATTTACGGTCTTGATCGTGTGGTTTGCATTAAAGATACCAGTTTTAGGCTTTTTCTCCTATCCCTTTTTTCCCCACAAATATCTAAGTGTTGAACCTTGGGTGAAGATTAGCAGTGCAGTGAAGTGAACTATCTAAACCTCTTACACTAATCTGGGATAGTTATTGGATTCAGCACAGAGCAGGATCTTCCAAGAACTTTTACCATAATTAGCCACTCCCTTATATGTATCCGTCGAACTTGTTAATGTTATCTTAAACCTCAACTTGCATGTGAAGTGTGGCGAGTTATGTAACCATTTCATTCTCACATACAATACTAATATTCTAGGAAACAAGCAGGAAGTTCCAAAGACTGACAGACAAACACTTAAGATTGAAAAATCTCAATGTATAATGTGAAAAGCTATGTATTTACGCTCCCCACCTTTACTAGAACCGAGATGCCTTTGAACATTAAAAGTACAAATTGCAAAGTCCATTTTGTTGAGTATCGCACAAGAAACATTTAAGGATGAGGTACACTGATAAAGTCTCGGCACATCAAAGTTTCAGGTACAGGTAGAGATACATAATCATGTAACAACTTTTGTTTCCCCTTTCTTAAAAAATTTTTTAGATTGCCACATTACTTCTAACAAAAATATAATGGAGAAATAAGTAATCACAATACCTTTATTTCTCTGTACAACAATCAGGAAATTAGAAAGTATAGTTTGTAAATATTAAATTTATTTTCAGAGGCGATATGGTTTACAATATTCATTTATAGCACTTCATCTTAAATATAACCCCAGTTTTCCATTTTGCTTATATTACCGCATTAACGATACGAGAAGTTGAACTCCGTCCTGTGCCCAACTCACTAATTAGCACGTGGTCACGAGTCCGTCTGGTCAAAACAGGTCACAGTATTTATGCCACAAAAAATGTACTCATAACAGGGCAGCAATCACTGTAATCTGTAGCAAAGCACAGCAGCAGCAAAAAAGGGACAGCACGGATCAAGCGTCTGCCTAGGAAGGGGATGGTCGTGTCAGGCATGGTCATGGGAGATCACTGCCATGCCTGTAGGTCACACAGTCCAGGGCACAGGCCGGGGCCCGGCTGCCTCGGCATAACAACTAGCAGAGTAGCAAGCACTCAACGGGACACACAGCGACTCGCTGCAGGTTGCAAATGTCACATTTTGCATATTCAAACTCAACAGTGGGTCGATGTCCCTGAATAATGGGAGAGTTCATGAGTTGACAGCAGCCAGCAAGCATATCCTCCAGCCATAGGCACATGCTCGGGTCTGTACATGACTTTTTAAATATTTATATAAATATACAAAATAAATCACAGAATTTGAGCCATAATTTACAAAACATATGAGGAGCCAAGCTGTAAACAAGTAACTGAGCTTCAAGTATCTAAATGCATATATCCTCTATACAATCACTCATATCTTGGAAGTGAAGGGAATGCAGTTTTCCATTTTACTATTTTATAACACAATAACAATTAATATGCAACTGATGCTCACCCTAGCAAATATTACAAAACATTCTTATAATTCACTATACGCACTTTCACAGAACACTATTAACCATTTGTCCGTGTGCATATGCACTAATTTACAATATAAAAAACACATTAGGGCAGCATTACTAAGTCCGAGTCCACCTCATGCTCCAGCCATCACTCAGGTCTTGCCTGCTGTGTGGCTCTCTCTCCTTCCGAGAGCGAGACAACAGGGAGACAGTCCGAGCTCCAGCCAGTGGCACCCCATCACTTTAAGGGGAAAAGGGTGGGTGTATATATAGCAGCATCTGCCTCTTCTGCCAGGCTCAACACTTCACTAGATTGTGGCGCAATTATATCTGGCTTTGGCTCCATCTTCACTTCATCTTTGCTCACATTTCCTTATATATATCCGCGTCCATCAGTTACAAAAGAACTTGACCTGGTATAGTGGGCAGCTACTGAGGGAAGATTATAGGGTTCATATTTAAAAAGGAGCTTAGGTATGAGTTTCTCCTTCTTCTACTTCAGCTTCTTTTAACCATCGCATGAAGCCCTTAACAAGGTTAACACAGACTCCTTTTCCCTCCTGCTCCTCTGGGTCCAGAGACTTTGCCCACTCTTCAAAGGCCTCTTCAGACACGACTTCAGTGTCATAGAAGGCATTAAAACACTTTTCTAGAAGACCTGAAATGGAAAAATGAATAGATAAGATCAGATTCAATCACAAATCAGACACTTGAATAAAATTCATATATACTGCTCTTAAATCACTGCAAAGAAACCAGTCTTTACAAACCTGGGGGATGTTGATGCTTCACACTGATAGCTTGTAGAGCATAAATACACTGTAGTTCTAACTTGTCACTGCTGTCCACATATTTGAGCACCACAGCCAAACGTTTCTTCATTTTCTCCTCAAAGTCTTCAGTAACACGAATTGAGGAACCATCATTGGAAGCTGGGAGGTTAAAAAGGGAAAAAATTACCATTATTACAGACTAAACAGAACTTACATAGACAAGTAATTTGAAACCCTGCTATACTGGAAGGCATGATTCTAAAAACTTTTTTTGTTCTAAAAAAATTCCAATATATACAAGCATATACAGTATATACTTCTTGAACTGCAAACAAATCTCACTTACTCATAGCTTGACTTTCCACTAAGGCGGTCACCAAGGCACGTATGAATTTGCTGCTCTTAACATCTTTTCCAATATTTGCCTGAAAATAAAAAGGTTACTTTAGTAATTATAAAATAGTCAAGGAAGTAAATTTAATTTCCCAATGGAGAAGAAAAATTACCATGAAAAAATGTGCACTTTGGCTGCGTACGTGTGCGCATTGTCTGTGTACTTGGATGTGTACATGTGTGCGCATTGTCTGTGTACATGTGTGCGCATTGTCTGTGTACTTGGATGTGTACAATGTGTATGTGTACATGTGTGTGTACTTGGGTGTGTACATGTGTGCGTTGTGTGTGTACTTGGTGTGTACTGCGTTGTGTGTGTACTTGGTGTGTACATGTGTGCGTTGTGTGTGTACTTGGTGTGTACATGTGTGCGTTGTGTGTGTATGTGTACTGTGTGTGTACTTGGGTGTGTACATGTGTGCGTTGTGTGTGTACATGTGTGCTGTGTGTGTACATGTGTGCTGTGTGTACATGTGTGCGTTGTGTGTGTATGTGTGTGTACATGTGTACATGTGTGTACATCTGTGTAGATGTGTGCGTTGTGTGTGTACATGTGTGCGTTGTGTGTGTACAGTGTGTACATGTGTGCGTTGTGTGTGTACTGTGTGGTTGTGTGTGTACATGTGTGCGTTGTGTGTGTACTTGGGTGTGTACATGTGTGCGTTGTGTGTGTACATGTGTGCATTGTGTGTGTACTTGGGTGTGTACATGTGTGTGGGTGTGTACATGTGTGTGTGTACTTGTGTGTACACACTTGTGTGTAATGTGTGTACATTGTGTGTGTGTACATGTGTGTGTGTGTACTTGGGTGTGTACATGTGTGCGTTGTGTGTACTTGGGGTGTGTACATGTGTGCTGTGTGTGTACTTGGGTGTGTACATGTGTGCATTGTGTGTGTACTTGGGTGTGTACATGTGTGTACTTGGGTGTGTACATGTGTGCAGTGTGTACTTGTGTGTATGGGTGTGTACATGTGTGTGTACTTGGGTGTGTACATGTGTGCGTTGTGTGTGTACTTGGGTGTGTACATGTGTGCGTTGTGTGTGTACTTGGGTGTGTACATGTGTGCATTGTGTGTGTACTTGGGTGTGTACATGTGTGCATTGTGTGTGTACTTGGGTGTGTACATGTGTGCATTGTGTGTGTACTTGGGTGTGTGTGTGCACATGTGTGCATGTGTGTGTATGGGTGTGTACATGTGTGCATTGTGTGTGTACTTGGGTGTGTACATGTGTGCATTGTGTGTGTGGGTGTGTACATGTGTGCATTGTGTGTGTACTTGGGTGTGTACATGTGTGCATTGTGTGTGTACTTGGGTGTGTACATGTGTGCATTGTGTGTGTACTTGGGTGTGTACATGTGTGCATTGTGTGTGTACTTGGGTGTGTACATGTGTGCATTGTGTGTGTACTTGGTGTGTACATGTGTGCATTGTGTGTGTAGTGTGTACATGTGTGCATTGTGTGTACTTGGGTGTGTACATGTGTACATGTGTGCATTGTGTGTGTACTTGGTGTGTATGTACATGTGTGCATGTATGTGTACATGTGTGCATTGTGTGTGTACTTGGGTGTGTATGTGTACATGTGTGCATTGTGTGTGTACTTGGTGTGTATGTGTGTGTGTGTACTTGGGTGTGTATGTGTACATGTGTGCATTGTGTGTGTACTTGGGTGTGTATGTGTACATGTGTGTACATGTGTATGTGTACATGTGTGCATTGTGTGTACATGTGTACATGTGTGCATTGTGTGTGTACTTGGGTGTGTATGTGTACATGTGTGCATTGTGTGTGTACATGTGTGTGCATTGTGTATGTGTGTGTATGTGTACATGTGTGCATGTGTGTGTGTATGTGTACTGTGGGTGTGTACATGTGTGCATTGTGTGTGTACTTGGGTGTGTACATGTGTGCATTGTGTGTGTACTTGGGTGTGTACATGTGTGCATTGTGTGTGTACTTGGGTGTGTACATGTGTGCATTGTGTGTGTACTTGGGTGTGTACATGTGTGCATTGTGTGTGTACTTGGGTGTGCACATGTGTGCATTGTATGTGTGTACTTGGGCGTGTACATATGCATGCCTTCCTGTGTGTACATGCATGTATACACACAAGATTCAGGGTAACCTTTAGACAAGTAAAGACCATATTAATGTTTCTATTCAATATCATGGTTATACTCGTGTACTACCAAGCAATGACAATTGGAGTCTACACGACATGCATAGCAATGTCACGTGCCAAGGATAATCCATGATCTACTACTACTTCAGTGACTTACATCAATCCAGCTGAAAATTTCTTCATTAGTTGCTCTCTTAAACAACCTAATAATCTCAGCCTCAACCTTCTGAGGGTTCCATCCACCTTGATTTCCGGACTTGCTACGGTCAACTGTGAACTCCACATGCTGCAAGGAAGAACAAGAAATAAATTACATGTTGACAATGAAGAAATTTTTGGTCACATTTATTTCTTTTTATTATTATTTTGTATTAAATATCTAAAATACATGGATACAAATTTATATGTAATTACACGTTTTTTCACAGTACAAATTGCCATCACACGAGGAATAACTAGGTACTTACACGCTTGGCAAGGAACTCCTCAACATTGGCACCAGGAGGAACTATACTAGACCAACATAGTCCTGATGAATTCCAGAGATCGGCTACCTTATTGGGACTCTGAAAACACAGGATTGATTATTTTCTAAATAGTTATCACCATAGAAAATGTGCAAAAAAAGTTTTCAATTGACAGCAACACCTATTACCAATTCTAACCCAATATTGATGGGGGTGTTATATAGGTGTATGCCATGCTTACCGAGTTTAGTTTATCATTTAAACGTCTTTACACATAGATGGCTCCCCAAGTGTTTAGTCAACAAGGAGTCAATCATTAGTATTACCTCTCTTGCCTGTTTATGCATTTCCTTAATTTTTGTAATTATTCTCTCATCTTGTACCGATATCAAGTAATGTTAACCCACTTGCACCGGGTGTCACACATGTGAGACACTCAGGCAGGGATATCACCCTCCAAATGGACCATCAATAAGTGGTTTAACATGATAGCAGTCATGTCTATAATAACAGCATCGGTGTTAAAAACATTGGTTAAATGAAGCCACTTCCCAAAACCTCAACGAAAGGGGTAATCACAAGATCACATAGTCTACTAATTGACTAATTGATTAGCATTTGTGGACCCATTTATATGTAAACACTTCACAAAATAAACTACAGTGATCACATTTTTCTGGCAGCATTGGATTAATGTCAAATGCATGTCATTATTCTCTGGGCATTTCAATAATGCATACAATACTTACAATAATCTTAGCAGCCTTGGCTAATATACTGGCAAAGACATCAGCACTCTTATTTTCAGCAAATCTTGATAAATCCCAGAGTCGTTGAAGCGAAACTGCATTGTCATTCAGGCAAGGAGCTGTTGGCAGAAAGCAAAAATAAGTATAAATTGCTTGGTTTTGATGCTTTCTTTTTCATATAAAACAATTGCTTACTATTGCACCATACCCTGATGACAGGAACTTACCAAATATTTCACCAAAGTAATCACACACTTGAGGAATATCAATTGCAAAATCTTCTGTCATTGACAGAGTTTCTTGGCCACTGAAAAGAAAATAAACATCTTTTCATCTCAACATTTCCTTTAACAAATATGAATATCAAAATCTCAGTAAACTTATCCCAAAAAATATAAAACCACACTTCATGAAGAAAACTTACCCTTCTAGGAACTGATCAACTGAGAGGAGTTTTTCAACAATGAGGTCATGGTAAAACTGTCCAACCATCCTCCTCTTTGTTGAATCACGATCTAGCACCCAATCTAGCGTTACCTGCACAAAGTACTTGATGGTGCTGGTGGAGAACTTCTCTTTGACACACAACTTGGCCTCCTGTAAGGGTATCATGGAATAATTAAAAATAGTTAATCAAAATAAATATACTTGTATTTCATATGTGCTACTTTTGAAAATATATTATAATATATATATATATATATATATATATATATATAATATATATATATATATATATATATATATATATATAAGAAAACAGACAAGTAAAATACCATATACATACATCAGGATCATTATTGTGGGTGAATTCCTCAATGATTGCAATGGCAAACTTTTCAGCAGTTGCTGAATCCATATTTGGAGAACCCTTTAGAGATTCACCAGTTTCCCTAGGCACTGAGTTATCCCTTGATTCTGGACGACTAGTAGATTTGCTTCGGTCTGGAAAATAAAGTATTTTTAGGTATGGAAGAGAGGGGGGAGGGACGGGGTAAAAAAAGAAAACTCATGGGCATTGTTACTAAATAAACACAAACTTACCAGGGCCAACAAACTTCTTGACTGCAGACAAGGCACTTTCCTTGTCATTGGAAGGAGGTGGCATACTCTTACTGCTAAAGACCCCTTGCCTTGGTGGCCCTCCTCCAGGAGCCAGTCTGTTTCCACTGGAACGGGACATTAGCCTTTAATAAAAGCAGATCACAGAAGAATGATATAAAAAATACTAATCTGATGTCAGATATTGCAAATTGCTTCCGCCTTCCGTATCTAGTACAAAGTCCAAGCAAAATACATAGTGCTTACCCCATTGATGAAGGGACTCCTCTTCTATTATCATTAAGTAGAGTGTTATTACCCATACTATCTCCCAGCACATTAAACCTATTACTTTCTTGCTTTGTTTCATCGTGGTCCTTCAAGCCACCCCCTGAGCTGCCACGTGCCCAATTGCTGAATCCTGTACCTCTCAATGTTACTTCCTTGCCCTCAGCTGCTCCCGGCTGTACAAATTAAAAATAGCAATTAAGTTTTACTCCAATGCACTCCATCCATCACAAATATCTGTTAGCACATTATGCCCAAACATGTGACCAAAATCATTCAACAAATCCTTACCCTATTAATGAAGGTATTTTTGAGGCGAGAAGAGTCAAAGGATGCCCTGTTCTTGGTGGATGCAACTGTATTCCATCCATCCTCAGACATAGGAGGACCACGGTTATCACGGCTCCGTTTACGGTCCCTGTCATCTCTCCTCTCATCTCTTCGGTTAGGAGTAGAAGCAAGGGCAATCTGCTGCTCAATCTCCTCTCTCTTTGCTTCCTGCAAGTGCAATAACAACTGCATGAAACACTTTACATCTACATAGCCTTCTAAATCTACACATGCAAAATATGAAAATAAAAAATTGAATTAAATGCAAGCATTGAAGTTTTACATTTCCTGTTGACCTCCAATAAAACTAATTTAAAGGACATAGGACATAGCAAAAACCAGCACACACACCTCATGGACCTGAGCCTTGGTTTTGGGCTTGTTGTCTTCTCTTCTAGGAATCCACTTGTTTCGCCGCAAGTCAATTACATCCATCATTAGGAACCTAACACGGCTATTGGTTAAGCGGTCGTTCACTATTTTCTCCATCTGTGCAAAATGTTTTTCCAATTCTTGCTGTGGGGGGGGAGGGGGGAGAATTAGTGTACCATTACACAAAAGTAACCCACAATGTTTTCCATAATACTACAAAACTTCACATGGTATTCAACCTGGCCACTTACCATTGCCTTTGGTTGCTGGTTGCACTGTGTTTCCAAGAGCTTGCCAATTGTAGTAAGCAATTTACATAGGCACTCAAGGGACTCTTCATCTCTCTTTTCCAAGAGTGTGCCGATAATGCGCATCATAATTGGTGATGTCAACATGCGCAGCTTATAGAGCTCTCCAATAAACCTAATGTTGCCTACAGACCTTTTTCTTAATTTGGTCTCATCATAATCTAATTTCAATAACAATTCTTGTTTCTTCTCAGCCTGTAAAGGGAGTAAAAGTTCCTATAAATTTCAAATAGTATTTCTTATGGTATTTCTTAACTATAACATTATATGATATTAATAACAAATGATATCAATATCACTGATTAATGACTTTCTTCAATTTTTGAAGATACAAAACAAGTCTTCATAAAGAAAATGCAAAAACACACTTCACTTACATCTGAACATTCATCTATTTCTTTCCGTCTAGTGGCCTTAAATTCTTCCATATTATCTTTTTCAAATTCTTTCTGGCACTTATTAATTATAAGATTCCTAAATTTAACCTCAGACTTGCCACTATTGCTGGAGTCTGAACCCTCCCCACGGACAGACATTTTGGAGAGTACTTGACACATCTGAGCATAGGTTGAAGAGAAACCCTGCTCATCCACAGCCTGTTTGGAGAAAGAAAAATATACATTTCAGATGATCATGCACTGCTGGCTCAATGAATAATAACCAACAATAACAATATTCATCATACTGTCAAATTCCTTCCATAACAAACCTTTTCAAAAATAAGATCAATCACAGCTGAAAGTCTTTCTGTGGTGTCAATGGGCATCTGATTGACTGTACCAACCAGTTTCTCAAACTTCTCTGGGGTCAGTTTATTCAAGATACCTCTCATCCTCTTCACCACCTGCACAATAAAGAAGAAGGTTAGTTGTATAAACTCATCCATATCAAATTTCTCACACTTCTCTGAAACCTTCAAATATTTAACCATCTTACAAATAAAATCACAAGAAATCACCACCACAAAATCTTGGCACATACCTCAATAGTCTGAGCTTCCTCATCATTAATAGTTGACTCCTTAACAGAAGGCTTCCAAGCATTTTCTGTTGTTTTCAGCTTAGTCTCACGCCCGGTTGAGAGAGGGATGATGATGACCTTACTCTGTCCGCGGCCACTTCCTCCTCTGTCGTTTCTGCTCCCAGGTCCTCCACCTGGCTCTCGACGCTGTTGGCTATTGCGCCCTGGTACTCCTCTCTGAAGCAATAAGATGATGCACACATCTAACATGCAGTCTCACAAAACCATTTAAATATTATTCCCTCTCAAAGTATCCAGCACAAATGAAAGCATTTTCTGTAAACTGTTAATACCTTGCTTGGAACTGTAGACTTGAAGTAATCAGGAGTAAAGTCTGGGCCACTGCTGCCGTGTGAAACCCCTACACCCCGGTCAAAAGGTTTAAGCTGCAACATGAAAATATTGGCATTAAAAAACGTAAAACCACTCTACAACTGACAAAGATTTTTGAAGGCATAACCTTTACACCAGAAACTCCTAATATCAAATACACTCAAACACATATCCCAACTTACCCTTCCTGGACCATCACGGACCACCTCCAAGTTGGGGAGGGACTCAGGCTTCTTAAGGGAAAGTGGGTTATTCTGGAGCTCAAGGAGAAATCTGCGGTCATACTGACGTTTACCATCAGGATTTACAGGGCTCCACTGATCTATAAAGATGCCAAAAAATGCATATGAATAAATACTTCAGGTTCACATCTATGACATACTGAAAGAAAGACATCAACCATTAAGAGTAAGTATAACAAAGATCTTCCCTGGGAGGATGGACAATAGTGGCTTTTCTGCTGAAAGTGAAAATTGGACTAAACATTTTGTACAAGGCATCATAGCAAAACAAGAAAATTACAGCCTAGACCTGCCACACTTCATGAAACAACCCATGAAGTCAAACCTACCATCCTTATAGTTGTACTTCAGCTGAGGACCATCATCCTCCTTCTCCTCCTCGTCGTGAACATTGTTAACCTCCCGCTCTATGCTATTCACTTCCCTCTCCTTCGAGGCACGATCGTTAGGCGCCTCCTCTGGGGGGGAGGGGGAGGACTCTGGCTGGGGTGTTGCCTCTTTGGAAGAGGGAGCTGATGCCGGCTTCTGCACTGGTGGCAGCTGTGTTTTCACAGGCTGAGCTAGCTCTGGTGTCTTCTCCTTTGGAGGCTGAACAACAGGCTGGCTAGTGGGCTTGGTGGCATTTTGAGCTGCAGGTGGTGTTGCAGCCTTCTGGGGTTGGCTTGGTAACTGTGGCTGCTGGGGCTGAGCTGGAGGCTCCTCCACAGTCTCCCTAGCTGGTGTGGTTTCTTCTGGGGGAACCCCCCTTCCACGCTTGCCTGCAATGAAGTCAAAATGTTAGTGGGTTACCCTTTATGAGCACAGAGAAAGATGGATTTTTTCCTTCTTTTACAGATATAAAAGTTGGTTCCTTTGAAAAAGCTGAGTGAAAAAAGACCACAGGAAGTATGATAAAGTAAAAAATTATGGATCTAGAAAAAAATCAATTTTACTTCCATATCAACTATTTAGTTATAGTTGTATATAAAAACAATTTACCTCTTACAAAAATAACTCAATAATAATGACCAAATGTTAACCAATTGATGCCAAGTACAACTAACTCGTGTATCTTTGTAAATTTGATTCACATGTAGGTCAGTTACCAGGCCTACATGACCTATGTCACTGATTTTTCTTTCTTTCAGGAAAAGTCCATTTATTACTATAATCATTAGCAATATCATTAAAGATATTGGTAAGAAAAAGTTACTAACAGTAATAGCAATTAAGTATTTCTTACAACAATTCAAGGATCTGGGTAAATAGGCGAGGCCTTTATTATTATTAATCCAATAGGTTAACCCCTTGGATCCAGTTGGTTCACAGCAGTAAATATGGGTATTAGACTTGTGTTAGCAGCCACTCTGATCAGTGCGCAGCTTGTAGGCCAGGTGCGCGTGAACACTCATGCTGTGACAAGACACTATGCCACCTCTTTACAATGCTATTTTCTCTTTATGCACAAGTATTTAAAACTTTTTTGTCATTTACCAATGTCCATATTTGTCATTTGATTTCCTTTATCTGGATAGTAAGTTTATTTACCTTGCACAGACTCCGTATCATCCCTCTGGAGGATCCATAACTTGGTGCAAGAAAAATAAAAAGTAACTTGTGCCACTTTAATTCTTTAATTTTTAATTTTCTGTAATACAACCTGCACTGCCAGTCATGGCAGCAAGGAATAGGATGCTGAGCACTGACATGGCATCCTTCCTGGTGCCAGCGTTCTTCCAGTTGTGACTCACGTACATTACATTCCACTCATTTAATTATGGGATAATGCAAAAGCCCCTTTCTGAAAGCCAAATAGGTCTAATCACCCTCCGCTTGTGGCGAGTCTTAAGTCACCCAGGCCTTCAACCGAAATGCTCATGACTGCAAATTAGCGTCATCTGGCCCATAACCAGTTTTTTTTCATGTGATGGCCATATCATCCATATCAAAGGAGTTAATAATGACAAAGCTCAAATACATACTAACATATTAAGGTAAGAAAGGAAGGGATCTTTTCAACAAAAAAAAAACAATATACTTGGAAATACTAAAATAATCTCACCCATCTGAGGAGTGGATCCCACATCAAATAAAAATGCCCCACCAAATCTTAGCAAACTTCATTTTTATAATTTCTGTAGATTTGTCAAGTCACACAAGAAAGAATTAATATAGTATGAGCAGTTGTTTGCTTTATTCTAACAGTGTTGCTGTTGCCTGTTACTAGCTACTGAAGCAGGTGCCTCTCTCAAACCTGCTGTATAGTATACTCTACAGTGGCTCTGTACTTGAAGTGATTAGTGATATTTACACTGATAAGCTAAAGCGATAATGCATATGATGAAATGCAAAGTTTGATGTTATCTTTGGAGAATTACAGACTGATAAGCCATCTCAGATGAAGGGCATTATGATAATTTTGGCTCTGTACCTTGGCTGGGCAGCAAGTAAAATAAGAGCTGAAAATCTATTCCATAAGATAAAAAAAAAAAAAAAAAAAAAAAAACCCACCCCCATTCACCCACCCACAAACAAAACCACACCCACACCCTCACCCACACACCTTATAGACAATGTTCAGCTAAATAGCACTTCAAAATGACAATATATAATGCCATACATACTACTTCGTGCAAAAACAAATTACCTCATTTCAATAAAAAGGATAAAAAGAATTTAAAAAAAATAACAGTAAAGGTCATTAGGCTAAAAGCCTTTTCTCCTTCAATATCTTACTCTTGTGATATTTCTCTTCCAGATGAATAAATACATACCGGTGACAGCACTTTAAACTCTGACTATTGCTGTCTTAGACTTCAAGACAGCTATGGCAACTAATTAGAAACAAGAAGCATAAAATCCAAAGTTTTCTCCATTCTGGGTCACAATAGCCTCCCAACCCTTAATCCCGTTAAAATATTAGGCAACCACTTATATCTCACTAAGACTCCATAATCTTACTTTCCTTTTTTTCTATTACAAAAATCACAACAATAAGAAGAGCAGGTACGCTAAGGAAGCATGTGTACATACTCCATGCCTTGTGGATTTTTCACCTCCCCCCCACCCCCTTTTTAATGCACAGATGGCACCTGAATTACTTAGTAACAAGGAGCCATTAACCTGTCCTACTTTATCTACCCTGCTTTTCTATTTTGCTAATTTTTGGAAAGTTGTTACTCATTACTATTGATATTTTCATTATCAAAGCAATTAATAACTTTATATATAATATATAATAATAATATATAATAATAACACTAATAATAATAATATAAAATCAATCAATTTAGAAAAAAAAGCAAAACTGGGTACTCAAGGTGAGGTCTGGTAGACTTAATAGACCAATTGGTGGAGAACTTTTTCACAAAACTACATAGCATAATACATGTACCCTTTCTTTCACTTATAGATTAACTGTTGAAATGATTATCATTACCCTTCTCTAAGGCAAAGGGAGGGGGGGGGGGTTAACTGTTGAAATGATTATTACCCTTCTCTAAGGCAAAAGGGGGGGGGGGGGGGAGTAATTCATTACAATGTGATAAATGAAACTACATAAAAAAAACAGAAGTGCAATATGAATGAACAAACAATCACTGGCAACGAAGCATGTGAAGTGTGGGTGCTGGTGAAGTGACATGAGCAGAAGCAGACACTTGGCAGAGTGTCAGCTTGGAGGACTGCTGTGGCTACCATGATATTTCTGGACACCATCTCCCAACACCAACTCACAGGTTTAGCTTCACTTTCATGCCAGCACTGCCACTGCATCACTTGGGTTGTGTAAAAAAAAAAATCCTTTGACAATAACAGCACTCCCTTTGCTGCCTGATCCAACTTGTACATCAGTACTTTACCAAGATAAAGAGACCATCTCGGGCACAATCCACATGGTCATAGAGATCATTTTCTCCTAGACCTCACTTACATTATAAGAATTTATGTGCCACTGTGGACTACTGTGGATTTCCTGAGTTTTTCTGAAGCAAATTTTTAAATTTCAATCAGAAATGAACTTTAAATGTTAGAAGTTGAATACCTTCAATTAAATCTAATTTACAAAAATCCTTGAATCACTGAAACTGATTTATGATAAAACTGAAGTAAATGACGAATTTCACAACTTGTAAACATCACATAGCAATCCATCAATCATAAATGATTATTGTCTCAAATTACATATTTGTCCAAGATTATGTACATGAATTGCAATAAAAAAAGGAAAGCAAATAAAAAAAGGCTAAAGTGTCAGCACTTCAATTCTGAAAACGAACAAATACCCTGGACATCATTAAGCAAGTTCAATCTTGAAGCCTATCTTGAATGGCTGCAACAAAGGAAATGGGGAAAAAAATAAAAAATAAATAAAAACAATAATAATAAAATAAACATTCACAACTTGCAACAATGTCTATAATCTCAAAGAAATATTTTCCAACATTCTATCAACACTAAAACCTATAAGAAAGAAAAACATGCCACAAATGCTTTCAATGAAAACCCCAACTCTGGACTTCCCTATGAGAAGACCACAACACTTGAGCAACCAATGCCAAAATATGCAACAGGAAGCCATGCCTCTTGGCAAATGTGAACGAATCAGATGCCCAGACAACTGCTTTGCTTAAAGAAGTTGAAATAATAGTCATTATGATTTCCAGTCAAGGAATAAAGGAAATATCTACTGTAACCAATTAAAAATTTATGTATGCAATTTTTCACATTAACAATGATCATCTCAACTCTCATCAATGTGAACAAGATTAATGGGGGGAAATGCATGAGCACAACAGGGCCTTCAGATTTGTAAAACTTGACATCTTAGTCATGTCAAACAAACAAGGATTTCAGACTTATGACAGTATGAACAGTATTTTTTGTGGATTGCATTAAAAAGAATGAAAGAAAAATAATCACCCAAATATTTTTCTCCCCCCCCCCCAAATTCTATTCTATTCTATTCATTACAAACCTCCTTAATCAATAAGTCCTTGTGTGAAATTAACCTGTGTGAACTACCACAAAATCTCAACTGCATAAATTTGACACAAGTACATAAATCCCCAGTTCTGGCTTAGCTCATTTGTTTGACCTTTAAGACTGAATGAAGGAGCCACCTATAAATGCTTGATGGCCATTGTATTCACTCGACTTAGCAATGTGGTGATACTACTACACTTGCAGTGCCTTGAATTTCTTCCAAGATCATCATGAATGTTCCTTATTCCATTCTAGTAAAAAGTGTTGTTAGAATGTTTGCAAGCTAGCTAGTGAAACTGATATTCATAAACCCTACAAAATTAGAAATATTTTTCATGAACTCTACCTAATACTTAAAACAATGACTTGTATAATTCTCCCCCTCTTATATTTTAAGGATCATTTCATCAAAGACCAATCATCTTTCCCTTATATCAATGAATTCCCTTTAGTGCACCCTTTTTGCCCCATGGTTAATCATTCACAGTCAAATGAATCTCCAAACAATCCGGATATTGAAATTAAATCAAGGATTTTTCTTTACAAAAGCAACCTTCCAAAACTGCCGAATTCACACACGAGGTCTTACCATGACGGTCTCGACTCCTCCTGCCTTGGTACCTTGATCTGCTGGACTCGCGGCCGAACCCCACCCCTCCTCCTCCTCCTCCGCCCCGTTTATCTGATCTGTGAATGGTTCTGGTGTGGTATTTCCTCCGCGACAGGTCTCCTTCAGAGGAGTTGATCTGGGTGTGCGCGCCCTCCATATTACCGGGGAATCACGTGTTGAAAGCCGTGAGGCAGGCAGTTAGCAGCCTCAGATGGCGCTGTGAATTCGTGACGCTCTTCCTCTCCCCGGCGGGTCCAGTAGGGGTGCTGTGTATACACCTGATGAGCATGAGATCTTTCTGGATAAAGCACTCACTTCATTCTTAATGCTTCACGTGACGGTCACATTTCTCTGAAAAGTTGCTTCAATCTTAATCAGAATGAAACTTATAGTTACTTCGACTAACGTAACGGAAAGTAAACACCTGGGAATTCGCGGGGGGTGGAGGACAAGTGTTATTTCCTCAATGTATTACGTAATCATGCGTAGTACGTCTTCACCTGGGGATGATCTCAAGTGGCAACCTCGAAGACTATAGTCATATAGTTCACAAGCTAATTACGTCTACTGTCATATCTATGAATCAGAGATCGTCGCCTTAGAATTCGGAGGTCTTGCCGTCGCGTGCATCAGAATAGCACCACCAGTGTCAACCAAGGAGGCGGACCTCATAACCTATTATTAGCTGCGACGAGACCGTGTACTTAGCTGTTGACCTGGACGCGATGATGGAGAGACAGACTGGAAAGGTTAAACTACTCCCACTCGTCATCTATAATAAGTAAGATTAAAGCACATTAGTACATTCTGGTCATCCTTGCCCAATCCCAAGCAGAGACTTCAAATACTCCAGAAGACATTCCTACCCTCCCACTTCCTCAAATTTCATCACTCTAACCTCCACAACCTGTCATCGAGCACCCCATCCTCCATTACTACCTTACAAGCCTTATTCTCCATCACTCCGCAATACTCCCTCTTCCACACATCCTCCGACCATTTCCACCACCACCAACCATACAAACATATTCTTAATACTCTGTTTAGCCAGCCTAAATGCGGCACCGATTTTCGTGGATACCCTTTCTACAGCCCCCTTACTCAACAACACTTCTCTTACTCTTTCAACAGTCTCCAAAAGCAAGTGGGGGGCCAAGGTATCTCCCTTTCTTATACCAGATGCGATCGCTCCCGTTCGCGGCGTAACAGTCAAATCAGAAACTGAATACTATAGCATCTATCAAATTTNGCAGACTTGTTGGGGAGAGGTTGGCGAGGGGAGCGGTGGCAGGGTTGGGGGTGGAGGAGGAGGAGGAAAGAGGTACAGGGTGTAGGTGAATAAGAGGGGAGTGATGAAGAGAAAGAGAAGAGAGAGAGAAGAGAGAGAGAGATGAGAGACGATGAGAGAGAGAGAGAGAGAGAGAGAGAGAGAGAGAGAGGAAGAAGAGAGAGGGAGAGAGTGACATAGAAGGGAGGACCGAGACAGGAGAGGAAGAAACAGAACAGGCAGAGAAGACAGAGAGAGGCAGAGAGACAGAGACGTGTGAGATCTGACCGAGGGGAGATAGAAGAGAGGAAGAGAAAGAGAAAGAGACCACAGCCCAAACAGACAGACAAATATCACTGCAAGAATCTGCTTTATCGTTTTTAACAAATAAATTTCCAAGGTAAGGAATAAATCCAATTTCTTTATTTCCTCTCTTCGGAATACGTGTATCATATATTCAATATTGATTTTCATTGATGTCTCTTGCTTCCTCCTTGCAGCTGCAACCACGCCACTTTAGTATTGACTTGGAGTTAGATATTGCTTTTCATATAAATATTTTCATTGTCATCTTTATCACTATCAACATGATTATCTTCATTATCATTATTATCATTATTAATACAATTATTTTTATCATTATCATTATTATTGTCATTGTCATTTTCTTTATCATCATTATTATTATCCCAATGATAATAGTTGTCATTATCATTATTGATATTGTTATTAATAATAATAATAACAACAACAACAACAACAATAATAATAATAATAATAATAATAATAATAATAATAATAATAATAATGATAATAATTAATAATGATAATGATAATAATAATAATGATAATGATTATAATAATAATAATAATAATAATAATAATGATAATAATAATAATAATAATAATAATAATAATAATAATAATGATAATATAATGATAATAATAATATAATAATAATAATAATAATAATAATATAATAATATAATAATAAAATAATAATAATAATAATAAATAATAATAATGATAATGATAATAATAATATAATGATTAATAATAATAATAATAATAATAATAATAATAATAATAATAATAATAATAATGGTAATGATTATTATCACTATGATTATTTTCTTTATGATTAACTCTATTATTATTATTATAGTTATTATTATTATTGTATTATCCTTATTGTTATCATTATTAAATTACTATCATTACTATCATCATTATTAATAGTAGTAATTATATTATCATTCTCAATCTTTGTCAAACATTCTCATGCTCACCATAACAATTTTCATCTTCATTAATGTTGTTATTAGTATCATCAACATTGGTATTATTGATGTTGATATTGTTATCATCCCTATTCATTTTGTTATTATGGCTATCATCATCATTTACAAATACTACTACTGCAACTAATTATCTGTCATAACATTTGTTATAATTATCATCAATATAATCTTTATTATCATCAAGTATTTTACTATGAATATCATTATTGCTAATTTCATTGTGATTATGAATTATACTTTCCTTATCATTACTATCATAAATCATATAATTCTTATCATAATTATCGATGTTATTGTCAGTATTATCATCATCATCATTATCATTACTAATATGAATACTATTATCATTTTCATTATCATCATTATTATTATCTTTAAAATCATTACTATTATAGTTATTATCATTGCTATTATTACTTTTACTATTATTGATTGTTATCATTATCATTATTATCATCATTTTGATCCTCGTTATTATCATTTGTTGTTGTATTTTATTATCGTTGTTATTATTATTTTGATTATTATTATCATTATCATTACAAATAGTATCATTATTATCTCTATTTATATTACCATTATTATTATTATTATTATCTCTATTTATATTACCATTATCATTATTATTATTATCTCTATTTATATTACCATTGTTATTATTATTATTATCTCTATTTATATTACCGTTATTATTATCATTACCATTATCATCTTTATCATTATCAATATCTCCATCATTACCATCAATCATCTTTCTTATAATCATAATAATTTCTACCGTTCTCTATTCTTATCTCTGTTATTAGCATTATAAGCCTCATTATGATAATAATTTTCTTTAGCAGCCACTCCCTTCCTCCCTTTCCCTCAATATACAATATCAATGTTGTCACAGTTTTGTATAACAATAAATAATCTTTCGCTATTTACTTAATCAAGAGTCTAATTCCTGAAAATGGTTCTCAAGGATTGCCAGACAAAAAAAAAGAGAGATATATATATATACAAAACAGAGAGAGGTTTTGGTGTTTTATCCTGCCTGCTGTACTGTGTGGATAATGTATACGATGGTGTTTCATGTACGTTCTTGAATGGTTTGGCTGAGGGTGAATTTCGTCCGATAGATGGCACTACATATTTGTAAATATGGAAGTTTTATGGGTGTATCTTGTACATGGTAGTCTTATGGTTCCTTGGGTTTTCCTAGAGATTAACCTTTACTTTCTCTTCTCTCTCTCTCTCTCTCTCTCTCTCTCTCTCTATCTATCTACTATCTAGTCTATCTACTGTCTATCTCTATCTCATTATTATATATCTGCTTACTTATCTCTTTCTCCCTCTGTCTCATCTCTATCTTCCTCTTTCTCTCTCTCTCTATCTATCTCTATCTTATTTCTCTTTCTCCCTCTCCTTCTATTCTATTCTTCTTCTTACTCTCTCTCTCTCCTCTCTCTTCTCTCTCTTCTCTCCTCTCTCTCTTTCTCTCTCTCTCTCTCCTCTCTCTCTCTCCTCTCTCTTTCCTCTCTCTCTCTCCCTCTATCTCTCTCTCTCTTCTCTCTCTCTCTCTCTTCTCTCTTCTCTTCTCTCATCTCTCACTTCTCCTACTCTCACTCTCATCTATCTCACTTCTCACTCCCTCACTCTCACTCTCTCACTCTCTCACTCTCTCTCTCTCCTTCTCTCGCTATCTATCTATCTATCTTTCTATCTTGCTCTATTCATACATCTATATATCTATCTCTATTTCTCTATCAATCTATCTGACAGAGAGAGAGAAAAAGAAACAATACAGAACCTACAGCATTGAAAATATATAGAGAAAAACAACAACAATTGAAAGACAGCAGATCACACAAGGAGCAAATCATGAATCCTTTACCGATCAATCTTTTAATGAAATGTTTTGATCGTCAAGTTACTCTGTTTTGAGAGAAGTTTTGTGGCTGACGGGGCCAAGTGGCCATGAGAGAGTGAAGGGCGGCTTGTTCAGATCGGGGGGATGGGAGGGAGGGGGGGGGGGGATGAGAAGGTGGGGAATAGGGAGAGGACTAGGAAGGTGGGGGGAGAAGAGGCAGCGGAGAAGGGAGAAATCGGGGGAAAAAAAGAAAGAAATGTGAAGATATAAAGGGAAAAAAGAGTGATAAAAGAAATATAGAATGAATGAATAGAATTAGATAAAGTAAATAAACAGATTTAGGGGTATGAATTGAAGTTCAGAATGCAAAATCAAATAACAAAAACAAAAGAAAACAAAATGTACACACACACACACACACACACACACACACACACACACACACACACACCACACACACACACACAGCACACCAACACACACACACCACATACACACATACGCACATACGCATACACATACATGCAACTGAACAAGAAAAAAATAGAGATGGATAGATTGATGGACAGACAGATACAGAGAGAGAGAGAGAGAGAGAGAGAGAGAGAGAGAGAGAGAGAGAGAGAGAGGAGAAAGAGAGAGAGAGAGAGAGAGAGAGAGAGAGAGAGAGCTGAGAGAGAGAGAGAGAGCGCATGATAGGATTTTAAAAATCACATTCTCATATCATCAGCATAAAGAAGAAATTAT